TCTCGATTGATCACGTTTTAAATTGTTTACAGTATGTTTTTTTACTAACGCTGCCTATTTATATATTTCAGAATTTTTAATCAATTCTTCAGAATCGATTAATTTCAACCCGATTAATTAAATCGTAAATTCTTTTTTGAGAAATTTAAATGATTACGATAATCTTCTTTTTTTTAAATGTCGCATAACTACCATCGAGTTTCGAGTGGAGGTCGCCTCAGGAATCTGCCCGAAATGGGCAACTAATTCCGAGCAATGATGTAAATAATTACCTGTTTTTTTAATAAGGTATTTTTAGTATAGTAAAGTATTAAATAGGAAAAACGAACAATTGAGAGTCTTAATATGCGATAGTTAGTGCGATTATATATATATATATATATATATACATATGTATAATAACCGAATGTTTCGGCTTAATTGAAGTCATCTTCAGCAGTCTTGCATAATTAAATATGCATAATTAAACATTCTCGATAACCCTTCAGGTAGTCGTATGAAAATAGTAACAGAGTGCAGCATGAAAAGTCTCTCAGATTTCCATATCCGAAATGTGTAGCCGTTAATTAACTAAGTGCAAGCTACTGCACTTCATAACTGCACAATAAAATACAATGCTCACAGTGTCAAAAGGAGAGTCACGTATATGATACGAGACACTACCGTGCGTGCGTGCGTGCGTGCGTGCGTGCGTGCGTGCGTGTGTGTGTGTGTGTGTGTGTGTGTCTCCAGATATACCATCATCCAATCGATCATCTGATTTCGAGTCTTAATCATCTGATCGAGGCCCTGATCTAATTTTTGGCGTTGTCCTTTTTTTGGGAATAGTACAAATATAAAAATTAATGAAGTTGTAGATTCTGATGACGAAACTAAATATTTAGATTTCAATTAGTTAGTAATTTTTTACAAAATATTGATTAACACCTAATCAGGAAATTATTATTATATCTGGTAAACATTATCTAATAAAACACCAATCATACATTTTATGAGCAAAATAACACAAATTAAAATCTAATAATTCAGTTAAATTAGTAATGTTTCAGAAGTATGTCTCTTTATTTTGGAATTTTCGACACTAAACAAAATTATTTCGGAGTCTCTCTATAATTCTTATTTTTTCTTATTCTTAAGAAATCGAGAATAAAAAGAAATCAAAATAAAAGAGATCTATTATATTTAGATGGAAAAATTTATTTGTGGAAATATGTATTTCTTATTTATAAAAAAATTTTTATTGTATTACAATAATTATAGCCTCCCTTGTCGAAAAGTACTACTGAGCACTAGGAGCAGGGTTGTTATGTTTTAAACAAAACGTTTAAAACGGCTTGTTTAAAACATGTTTAAAACATTGGGCATTGTTTAAAACACTTTTATTTTAAACGTTTTTAAACTATTGTTTAAAACTGTTTAAAAACACCGCAATTAAAACATGTGATTTGGAAAAGAAATTGTAAAAAATAAACAAAAAAATAATTGTATGTTGCAAAAATCATGTTTTTATTTATTTATATATTATATTTAGTTTATACGCTGATTGTTCAATACTCATACTAAGTAGTAATTTCCTATAAAATTATTTTAATATCGGTAGTGTGCGTATTGTATTCAAAGAATGGTGTACCAAAAACTAAAATAATACAATAAATATCAAGATAATCAATTAAATACATGTAATGTGTATTAAATTAATAGAAAGTTGCTAGTTGTTATGAGTATATATACATATGTATATATATATACAGGGTCATCGAAAAGTATCGGACCCCCCTAATATCTTCAGTTAGGGTGGAGTCCCATGAAGCGTATTTGCCGCGTATCGCGTAACCGCGTAACCAATCAATAATCAGTAAAACGCGAAATCACAATAGCGGATCGCTTCTGATTGGTTACGCGATACGCGTTACGCGGAAAATCTGTGCCATGGGACGGCACCCTTAGAATGCATTTTGGAGAAAATGTCCAATAACAAAGTTATATGGTTTCAGGCGAGGAATAAGATGATGACTTTGAACTTGACCATGTCCTTTAAGGTCATTTCAAGGTCAACCTTATTTTTTTAAATGGAACCCCCTACATTTTATTGCATATTTTTATAGCTTATCTCGAGAGCTTTCCAAAACACTAT